ACAAGGGGAGGAGAGAATCTGGAGCTAAGACTTTTCTGCAATCCTCAAAGCAGGATGTCTGCTGAATATTTTTTTGAGAAAATCCCAAGTGCAACTTGTACCAAATTAAAACCAGAGGGTTCTGCAAGAATGTTCTGGCCTTGGATTTGCAGTGAATGGAATATTTTGTGGTTATACTAGAGGTCATGGGAGAGTCTCAAGGAAGTAGTGGAGCCAGAATTGTAGTTCTTCAAGCTGCTTGTCTCCAAATTCTCTACATCACCGATTTATAAAGTGTTGCTCCAGTGGGAAAAAAACAGCATTAAAGGGACCTATTTTATATGTGTTTATCAAGGCCACAAGACTTCTGTGTTTGAAAAATCCTTCCAAAGAAAACTTTTTAAGTATAGTTAAGGCTGTTTTCAGATTGATCCTAGAACTTTTATGTCTGATCTGAGAACTTTCACTGGAAAGTTAAGTGTTTTCTGCTTTGCTCTAAAATTAATCCATTGTATGTTATTTCTTGAATCACTGCCATGGAGTTCTCAAGTTCTCTTAGTTTTACTTCTTACTACTGTCTTTGCCATGAGAATGAGTTACCTTAGAATTTAAAATTTCTAATATATTTTTTTTCTTACCATTACATATTCTTGAGCTAATATACATTATAAATGGAAATTGAAGCCAAATTAATACATTTTCATGAAAAAAAGTACAAAATGAAAAAGCATGCATAATACAAAATCATTCCTCAAGATAATCTAAAGCTTTCACATAAGAAGAAAATGCTCAGATGTTATGTTCTCAAATACATATTTTATGTAAGTCTCCTGGCAATTTGGACAGTCAACTGTCTTGTTTAGCTGAAACAACAAAGAGAACAGAGCTGGCACGTATTTAGTGGATGTATCTATAGAGTCCATTGCTATATTCAACCCTACCTGCCTCCAAATGTCGAGTTAGCTATGAAATTGTCAGTCTCTGGTCTAGATTTTTTTTTGTTTTGTTGCTTTGAAAATTTTATTTTCCTTTTTTAGAATGTAAGATATAAACTTGGATGTGTAATACAATACAAATAATTTTGCATTTAATTTTGTATCTATCAGCTTTCATTAGGTAATGCTGGGGTAACAAACAGCCCTCAAATGGCAGTGGCTTACAATAACATATTTTTCTGACTCATATTTCATATTGGCTGCATGGTAACTGTAGTTCAGTTTTGCCTCTCATTATTTTAGGATCCATACTGAAGAAGAAACCTCTGTTTGTGAAAACAATAACACTGAAACATTCAATGGTTCTGAAAGCTTCTCAGAAGTGGCATACATAACTCCTGTTCATATTACAGTGGCCCAAGTAAATCATATGGCAGAGGATATGGAAGTATAATCATCTGTGAGGATTGTCAGAAAATAATTGGGAACAATAGCACAATTAAAGTATATAATGTGTCATAGGTTATAATTTGAAAATACGGGGAGGAGAGAGTTGTTCTAGAATTCTAATTGGAGATCTTGCAGGTCCATTGTTCCATTATAGCGATGGCATAGGACTGTTTTCCTTTAAAAACAGATCTACTTTGAATAATTGTCAATATGAAATTAATATTTTCCTCAACGATAAAAATAATATTTCTCATTATTAGAAAAATTTAGGAAACACAGAAAAGTATATAAAAAAAAAATTATCTCATACCAAGAGAAATTAAAACATCTGTCCACAGAAAGAATAATATTCATAGCAGGTTTATTCAAAATAGTAAAAAATCAAAAACACATGAACATCAATACTTAAATAGATAAACAAATTGTGGTGTATTAATTCAAGGGAACACTGCTATACAATAAGAAGGATCCACACAATAACATGATGAATCTCAAAAAACATTATGCTGCAAAAGAATAGGCACAGAAGATTACACATGGTATTAATGTTCTCTGTAGAAATGAAAGCAGTGAAATATGTATGTAGTACGGTCTCTACCTATATAGAGATAAATCGATGGATAGATGGTAGAGAGATAAACAGATAATGAGAGAGATTTACTTCAAGAAACTGCCAATTGTTGGGGCCTCCAAGGCCAAAATCTGTAGGTCAGGTTCAAGGCTAGAGGCTCCTAGAGCTTATATCCCAGGATTTGTAGGTCAGGGACAGAAAAAGTACAGAGTGAAGAGAGAGCAAGTTTTGCCAAAATATATATTTATAGTCTCGAGGCTGAACACACTTAAGAAAACTTTTATTCAACTGATTGATTGCATTACATTACAGAAGGTAATCATATCCTATTATATTAGATTACATTAAGAAACAGCGACTAGACTAGTATTTGGCCAGACTACTGAGAAGCAAAGCCTAGCCAAGTTGATACATAAAATTATCTGTCACACATATTCTATGATTCCATTGATGTGAAATGCTAGAAAAGACTAATCTATACATAGAAAGCAGGATCAGTGGCAGACTGGGGCATGAAGGTGGCGGAGTTGACCATGTAGGGCAGCAAGGTAATTTGGGGGTAATAGGATTCTTCCAAATCTTATTCTGGCAGGGGTTACTTTGATGTATATGTTTGTAAAAATTCATTGAAAAATACACTTAAATGAGTACTTTTTATTATATGTCAACTACACTTTAGTTGATTTTAAATAATTGAAAAATCCTCAGTTTTAATAATTCCCACATAGGTATCTCATAATTAAGGAGCCCATGAGGCACAGTGGTTAAAGCACCTGGCTGCTAACCAAAAGGTCAGTGGCTTAAATCCACCAGCTGCTCCTCAGAAGGAAGGTGTGGCAATCTGATTCCATAAAGATTGACAGCCTTTGAAACCCTATGAGGCAGTTCTACTCTGTCCTACAGGGTCACTATGAGTGACTCAAGTCAATGGCAATGGGTGGGTTATCTTATAATTAGCCTATTTATTTAACTCTAAAAATCAGTTATGTAATTTTTAGCTGATTTTCTTGGATATGTTAGGTAAACTATCTTACCCATATTCTTAACTAATTACATAGACTAACAATTCCAAAGCAATATTTAATAAGGGAGATGAAGTTATATTCATTCCTGAATCTAATTTTTACAGCCAAGGAATATACTTGCTCTTGGTATCAAATAGATTTTTTTTTTTTTCATCATGAAAGCACTTTTTTTCCCAAGATGAATTTTGATTAAAAATAAGTGCTGATTTTTTCCTAAGGCTTTTTAAGTGTTTATGTTTTCCTGTATCAAAGTGTTTAATTACTTTACTAGATTTGGGCTCAGCCCTACTTGGTCATGTTGCATTCTCTTTTTCTAAAGTCAATTTTATTGAAGTTTAATTTACATAAGGAGTCTTGGAGGTGCAACATTTAAGCATTTGGCTGCTAACTAAAAGGTCAGAGGCTTGAACTCAACTCCATAAGCAGTTTGCTTCCCTAAAGATTACAGCCTTAGAAAGCCCATTGGGGCAGTTCTGCTCTGTACTGTAAGGTCACTGAGTCACAATCAACTCAATGACAACAGAATTTTGGCTTATAATTTATATACAATAAAATTCACTCTTTCCAAAGTGCATGAATTTTGACAAATGTGTACCGCCGTATGCTTATTATTCTTTTAATATACTGCTGAATTTAATCTGTTAACATTTATTCAGAATAATATATTCACAACTGAAACTGCTCTATCATTTTCTTTTTGTACTGCCTTGATAGGGTTTTGGTATCTGAACCATCCTAGCTTCTTAAAAGAAACTGGAAAGATTCCTTTCTATGTGTGGAACAGTTTATGCAACATATGTCTGTTTCTGGAAGATTGCTGGAACTTGCCTTAAAACAAAAAGTACAAAAAACACAACAAAAATACTCTGGGAATGAGGTGTATTCAGGCATGTTCTTTAGCAATTTAATATTTTCCTGGATGGTGATAATGACAATGATAAGGATAATAGGATTTTCTTAGGTTTATTTTGGCACTTTTTTTTTTTTTTGGAAATTTTCCATTCTATCTCACTTTTCATATTTATTAACATAAATAATTCTTTACCATAAAATAATATTTAATATTTTAACCTTAATGTATGAATTTATTGTGACTCAATCCCAGCATTATTTATTTTGGGGCTTTACCCTCATTTTTTCTTTTTTTGTAATATTTATGCCTTTTATTTTATAATGATCTAGCAAACACACATTAGTTGAATTTGTCTTCCTATTATTACTCAACATGATAACATTTGCCCTTTTAATTGAAAAAAAACTCATTCATATTTTTTGGGTTAACTTATATTTGATCATATTATTATGTTTTATATGTCCTCCTGATATATATGCTCTTATGTCTATAGTTCTCTTGCATTTTTAATTCATTTTTCTTATGATATTTTAGAATTTATGCCTACTATTATTAGTCTACTATATTAAACATTTTGTGCCTATTTTCCTCTCAACTTCAAAAATAAATAGAATCTATTGGGTCTTCCTCCTACCCTCAAATGAGACAATTATTTAAGCACATGTTGCCCTTTATCTGCCATATTTTGTTCAAACAGTTGGTTATAGATAGTCTATTTTTAACATTATGAATATTCTTATTTGAGAATCTATTCTTAACATTTACATTAAACTTCACAAATATATTAAGAATCAATGGTAATTATTTAAGATAAATAGTTTTACTGGACTCCTCCTCACTCTTTTTCTTGGTCACACCATTCTGAATGTGTTCCAAGTTTTTTCGTTTTGGAAATATGAGGTGAACATAATAGTCTATATCACTAGGGATCTAGAAATACATGCTTGACAAGTTTCTGTAGTATTTTAACAGTGTTACTGCCTTTAGCCCAGCCTTGATCCCCAATTTGTCACAGTCTCCACTCTCCCTCCTGCCTGGTTCATCCCATACCAGTTTGTGCCTACACTCTCTGCCCTTAGACCTTCCCAGACCATATACAATTTCAAATATCTAAAGGTTTATAATATGGTCCTCAGTTCTTACAGTGAATTGCATACTGACTTACGACTTTTTTCTCCTGGACCTAGGCTCTGGAAGATCGAGTCTGGGAACTCCTCCAGGAAGCAGACAAGACAGCTGAAGAGAACAAGGACCTGAGTCAGGTCTATGATGCCATGGCTAATACATTGGGTGAAGCATGGGCAGCCCTGGTCTCCATGCTTGAAAGAAGACGGGAGCTCCTCAAATTGACCTCTGAATTTTTTGAAAATGCATTGGAGGTTTGCATTACAAAGAACTCTCTTCTCCACATCAGTGCAAATGTTGTTGTTGTTGTTATGTGCCATCGAGTCGGACCCGACTCATAGCGACCCCTCCTTGGGTTTCTGAGGCAGTATCACTATGGAAGTAGATTGCCCAACCTTCCTTCTGATGAGAGGCTGGTGAATGCAAATGTCAGCACTCCTGAAAATGTTTTATTCCCACAAATAGGCATTGTAATCAGGCTCGAAGAATGGCAGAATAGCCAATGCAGATGCAATAAAATTTTGGATTGTCAAAAAAATAAAATTATTAATACTATTAATGTAGGCCTTCAAACAAAAACTAAGTATAATTCAAAAAAACAAAACACTAACTCAGTGCTGTCAAGTCGATTTGATTAATAGCAACCCCTCCTTGGGTTTCTGAGGCGGTATCTCTACGGAAATATATTGCCCAATCTTCCTTCTTTAAGATTAAGTAAATTAAGTAAAAATGGAAACTCTTACCCATAAGTCATTATGATTTCTCTTTTTATAAGATAGTAATGTAATAATTAAATTAAACAATTAGCCCAGACTACAGGATTATTAGGAAATGCAGAATGTTTGTTGGCTAAGTTGACATATAAAATTTCTTCTGCTGGTTTTAAAAAAGCAATAGGACAATATTCCATAGAACAATTTTGTTGTAAACATAACATATTTTATAGTATTTTCCTAAGGCATAGTTATATTTCCATAGTTTGAGCTTATTAAAATACAAGGGAAGGAGAAATCCTGGCCCTGAATAGGTCATTTCCTCCTATGATTTTTCTTGAGTTCTGTGATCTTTTAAGGTTTCCAATTTTAAAATGTGAGACTCAAAGAACATTATCAGCATAGGTGTAAGATTTGGTATGGGACAGTTATTGGAAAATTCACTTTTAACTTCCCTGTCAAGTAGCAGTACATTCATTTTGATGTGAGAGTACTGTTTCATTATGATAAAGCACTAGGTTTGAAAAATATGACATTTTCAAACTGAAATTCAATACTTAAATCCAAAATAATGAAAGAAATAAGATTAGTAATAGAACATAAAAATTGGGGTAGACAATCTCATGCATCATAAGCTTATTTAAAAGCAAAAAAGGGCAATAAACCTTATACCTTATAGTAATTTTCATGGTTGTTTTGCACAATTTGAACACTGAAGTCAAACTCACAATTCATTTTACAGACCATCTTGGGAAAAAATTCCATAATAGTTTTCTTTCTGGAAAAGAAATAAACCAGCTAATGTGTACCTACAATGGCCAAACTATAGATACATCTGGTTTATTCTCTTAGTAAGTGGTATACAGGTGTCACCCACTCTTACAACTCAGCTCTTTTGAGAACAGGACATTATCTTTTTTCTGATATTAGGACCAATATTTGTTTTTCACTGTATAGTTTCATTACTGGTAATCTAATTTTCTCCATGATGAGTAGATTACTTCTAGCATTACACCAAGGAAAGGAAATATTGAGTTAAACCATAAAATAATCCAGCAACCTAATTCTTACATTTTAGTTAGCTTTCATTGGATAGTGATAAGTTTGTTTCTATCTGCTTCCAGTTTTGTACATTATTTCATACTAAGCTCAAGGCAAATTCCTACATATTCTTGCCTTCCCCTTGTGTATTTTCATTTGTGATCTTAAAGCAAAGGTGAAATTACAAGTCTATGGAGTGTTCCTCATGTTGTCATTTCTATCCTGTACAAGCTGCAGAAAGAAGAAAAGCATAATTTATAGGTGAAGGAAAAATTTCCACAAGATAAAAGTTAACAGAACTTCAGGAAGCTCTCTGAATAAAAAATTGTTTGCTTATGTATTTATTTTTAATATGTTTTAATAAAATATATGTCATACAATAACTCCAAGACATTTGTAAAATTCTACAAGGAAAACACAAATTACCTATTTGAGGTTTTTTTCTCTTTGAAGAGTCTCCTCAGAGAAGATCCTTAAAGGCAGTTATTAGAAATGGAATGAATGAGAAATGAAAATGATGTGTAGATATGACCCCCTTATTGAACTATATTCATGTGCGGGTTCATTAGAAATCTAAACTTACTTATTGCATGATTGATAATTATTACAGAATGACTCAGGCTTACAGATTTAATTACCAGTTGGGTTATTATCTTCTCAAACACCGTACTACAATTTAGGAACAGTGCTTAGGTGACAGTGGTGGGTCTCCATCAGGTTTTTGTGACAAAATGGCAGAAGCTTCCTTGGCATTCCAGAAATGGACATGCTCATTGGGCTGTCTCATAGTTCATGCCATTTATAACTGGATATTATACACTACTGTAATAATCAAAATAGCGTAGATCTTGTTAATCAAATGTTGTTGTTGTTGTTATGTGCTGTCAAGTCATCTCCGACTCATAGCGACCCCTCCTTGGGTTTCTGAGGCGGTATCACTATGGAAGTAGATTGCCCAATCTTCTTTCTGAGGAGTGGCTGGTGGATTTGAACCGCCAAACTTCTGGTTAGCAGTCAAGTGCCTTAGGCACTATGCCACCAGAGCTCCTATGTTAATCAAGTAGTTATATAAAAATATTGAAAAGTGCTGAATTCAAAGATAAGAGTTTATAGAAAATTTGAAAAAGAAGATAAGCACTGTGATAGGCTTTGATAGATTTCTCACTAATATTCAAGTTTGCTTTAATTAGTATATTTTAACCCTAATCCAAAGGTGATTATGTTGACCAAAACATTGTGTTAACACTATAGGAATTACTCTTGAATCTTAGTGCTAAAATAACACTAGTTTACCACTATGGCTCTATTGTACTGTTGTCGTTGTTGTTGTTATATGCTGTCGAGTCGGACCCGATTCATAGCGACCCCTTCTTGGGTTGCCAAGGCAGTATCACCACGGAAGTAGATTGCCCAGCCATTGTACTAGTATAACAAAATATGTTTTTTCCCCTTCTAAGCTTATTTCTAAGATTATTCCCTTGAGGATTTCAAACATCTCTCTCCCCCTCATACCTCTTGCATGGATCAACACAGAGTTGGGTCATATTTCTTATCATCTTGGGCTCGATTTCTTATGCTTTTTCCTTGAAACAGAGGAGAAATTTCCCACTTTTCATTTTTTCTGTGTCTAATATTATTTTTATTTATATATATATAAGTAATGCATAAACAAGTTCTTGATTAAAAAATGCAAACAAAAGTACAAATTATAGATGCCAGAGCTAAAAGTTCATCTCCTTCCCACATGCCTAATCCCATTCCTTCTCATAGAAGTAACCTGAAGTAACTGTTTGTTATGTTTCCACTTTTTCTTGCTTTATAACAAATAGGAGTAGATTACATATTATTCTGCAACATGCATTTTTCACATGCAAAAATATAACTATATTCCATCCTTCTCTTTAAATAAATTCTTAATTAAATTTACTTATTATTATATAGGTTATCTTTAGCCAGCCTTTTGTTGGTTCTCTTAGCAAACTTTCTTGCTATTTTCTTACAAGCTGCCTTAGAATGTTGGAAGTGACCATATTCATTACATAAAACACAGTGATTGCGGTTTAAAACATTTGATAGACATTTGTATAGTCAACAAGTTGATTGATATCAGCATACATGACTTTTTTCCAGATATGAAAGCGATCCAAAGAAGGGAAAGAAAATCCTTGCCTTGGCACCTTGTACATTGACTACATGCAAGCACACATCCTCACACAAACACACACATAGTAGTTGTTGTTGTTATGTGCCATCGAGTCGGACCCGACTCATAGCTACCCCTCCTTGGGTTGCTGAGGCAGTATCACTACGGAAGTAGATTGCCCAACCTTTCTTCCGAGGAGTGGCTGGTGGGTTTGAACCACCAGCCTTCTGGTTAGCAGTCAAGTGCCTTAGGCACTATACTACGAGAGCTCCTGCACATAGTAATATAGGTCATAAATCCACTAAAAACATCTACTAATTACCAAAATAACACACTGATCTTTATTTTTTTTCCTAATGTTCTCCCTGTCTTTCTGTTGCAGTTTGCTATTAAAATAGATGAGGCTGAAGATTTCCTCCACAACACTCAGGAATTTGAGAATGCTGAATCCTTAAAATCACTTCTTCAGCTCCATGAACATCACACTAAAGGCAAGAAATCCATTTATTTCTTACTTAAGCTTTTAAAAGATGTTACTATGAGAAGGCCGCTTTATGACTGTTTTTGATATGATCTTGTGTTGTTCCAAGAAAGATTAAGTTTTCCTTCCTGCCATCTTCTGTAGGGAAGAACTAATTGTAGATGGTTCTAAGGGGATGGTAGAGGGAATCTCCAAGATACTAAGTTATTCCATTTGCTACATTTTATTCCTGAGGGCAAGGATCATTTCCACCTAGTTATCCTTTTATCCTCAGTGTCTGGCATTGTGCTTGGCATATTACGGATCATAAAAATATTTCCTGGCTGAATAAATGGCTGAATACAGTGAATATTCCTTCTAAGATCAGTTAATGATGGTAAGTCTTCAAATAATAGCTCTGGATAGGGAAAATTCCTTTTTAACCACTGTAGCTAAAATAAAGTAACAGTGAACCTTTTTTTTTTTTTTCCAGATAAAAATCCTATAAAACACTACTTTAAAAGATTTCCAACCCCTCTAAAAACTATAAAGAGAGTCTGATCATCAATCGACTATTTGCATGCTAGGACTTTTGCACCAGAATTTCAGGCCAGCCAGGACTGGACTAGGGAAGGCATTTGTGAAAGAGTAGCTGTATATTACATTCATTTTTTGTGGAAGCAGGTTAGATAAATAGTAGGTTAGATAAACGATCACTTCCCTGGTTATTACTACCAAATAGGACTGGGTGTGAGTGGAATAGTTTCTTGAATTCATTGGTCAGAGAGCTAACTAGACTTCCAGCTCCACAAGCTTAATCATGCTGGACAGGGGCAAAAGGTGTTTGTAAAGCCACAGATTGGTTTTGTGGTTATATCTCCCTTTAAAGGACTAGATAGATCATTGTGATTAGTTACCTATCACAAGTTTTCCAAAATCCAACGATTAAAGAACTCAATCTTTCCTGTGTAAATTTTTATGAACATTTACCAAATACATATATGTGATTTTATCTGACATTGTTCTATAGGACCTATTACTAACAGCAATTATAAACAGCATCAAAAAGTTCAGCGTTAAAGCAGTAGCCTGCCCATTTTTATATGGCAGCCTCAATCTAGCTGGATACAAAGAGGCGGGGTGAGAAGAACACTTGAAATTTATCCTAGGATACTGGGAAGTGAATGGGCCCAGGTAACTGAGATGAGTTCTGTGATTTCAATTCGATCTCCATCTGACCAACATGCTCATTGCACAGTAATTTTACTCTGAAAGCCTGACAGTGATTGATGCTTTTGTTGAAGGTTCTTTACTGAAGCAATCAAATGAAAGCATTTTCCAGAGGGATAGGGGATTATGGAAGTAGAGACTTTCCATAAAGTTTTGGAGAAGGAGCAGGAAGCAGGAAAGTAGTCATACTGTTTTATTTTGGGTAAATCCTGAGTAACAAGGATGTGCCTCACAGAACCAGTGTGCATGGGGCACATGCTGCTGTACTTGAGGCCTGAGCCCACAGTTCCTTGGCATCCTACTGACAGGGGAACCAATGTCTTGCCTTTCGGTGGATAACCTTTAAGAATCCAATGGGCCTCCTCTTAGTCTGAAGAGGTATATAGAAATGCTAGTTGAAAACAGGGAATTGAGTTTATTTTTGTGATGAAAAGAATATTGTTTGGTTCTGATGGCATGTTTATCATGTCATTTTTTGTGCCCCTATGTGCCACTCAAAGATCTAGGAGTTTAGGGTACTCTGGTCAGGATATTTGGCTTGCAATTCATTTGTTGAGTGATATTGTCATGGGTTGTATTTTCATAAAATAGATGTTGATATGATTTGTTAATCAACTAATTCATTGGGATGTGATCAAGATGACCTAATTTGTAATGCATATTCAAGAATGTAATTCTAATTTTCAGTTAAGAACTTCATATATATACATTATCTTTAGCTATACTAATTTGTTTCTGAGATGCTAATCATGAGTACTACAGAGCATGAGTGTTAGGATAACAAGGTTAGTAACATAACTGAAAAACTGTAATACAACTTATTTCTAATATTCACTACTGCAATTAGCTTTACCTATGCTTTTTTCCTTATTCAGCAATGCTAAGGCTGTGTTGTGTGTAAGAAGCTTGCATACAATTTACATATAATACAATTAACATTGCAGAGGCCAGACTCAGCAAGAGTGGACTGACATTTCTTCCTTCTGAAATCTTAGAGAATAAATTTGTTCCTGCCACCATATGACAATCCTTGAAATAGTTTAGCTTTTGCATATTCTCTCCGATCTTCTGTCGTTTGGGTTAAACATTCCTAGTTAGTTAAAGTCTTCCCCAGCAGACATGGTTTCCAGATTATCTACTAGCCTGGCTGCCCTCCATTCAACAACATATAATAAAGCAAGATTTCTGAACTCATGCCAGGGGAGAAACATAGTTCCATGTGTTGTGTGCATAGCCCTTGTCTTCAAGAGAATTATAGTTTAGTGAGGAATGCACATACATATTTGTTGAGAAATCCCCTCTGGGCTTCCTGTGAATATCTCTGTTAACCCACCCAGAATACTGTGTAGTAGTAATTTATTTCCTTATTGGTTTCCATCATCACATTGTGAGACCCTGGAGGACAGAGATTAGTATATCTCGGAATCTCCAAGATTTAAAATAGTGTCCAACCCAAAGTATGTTCATTGAATATTATTTTCATATAATTTCAATGTGTATCATTTATATAATTTTAATGGTACAACACTGAGCCACAAGCAAGGTTTACAGGAACATTAAGGAGATCATTGATTCTAAGTTCTAAAGGATCACAATGGATCCTCTGGTTTTCCAATAACCTTAAAATGAACACAATACATAAGAAACTGTTTCACAGGAACAATCCTTCCTTGGATTAGATGTCATATATATTATAAAAATACGTGAATTTAGGTTCATGGGGTCCATTATGGTATTCTTGCTACTTTTATATATATTTGAAAATGTTCATTAAATCATTTTTAAAAAGAAGCCCAGTGAGAAATATTTGGAATATACAAAAACATTAGGAAGAACTATTATCCATAATCTCTGTACCAACACTGTGACTTTGATTCTCTTTTTAAAATATTCATTTGGAAAAGTTGTTTAGTAGGCTGTGAATCCACCTAAATTGTGTCCATCTTTCATTTATCAATCTTGAGTTTATCTACACTTAATAAGGATGATAACTTGTATAGAAATTAGCATAAAATGTATCTTACTATGACTTTTTAGATACAATGAAAATTAACCAAACCAATGAATATTATTGACTTACTACTAGCTTCACATCATAAGATATTGTGTCAATAAGTAAGGTTTTGTATATGCAGAAATAGACAATATTTAAAATAAATGAACTGTATAGATTTTGTATTTCTTCAAGGTCATAATATATCTAGACAATTTATCCTTAAAAATATATCACTGATGGAATAAATAGCTAGGAAGATGTTAACTGCAAAAAAAAAGTAAGATGTAAGAAACTGACAGAGAAAGAAATAAGGGAACAGTTTATCCACTTTAAAGACAGTTGTGATAGCAGGTAACAGATTGATTTCAGACTGGGCACATTTTGATGTTATCTTTGGCTCAGGAGGCTGTATCCCAGGTGGTACTGTGATAGTGGTTATGCTGTTCCAGCATAAGCCAAAAGAGAATACAATATAATGTTTGCAAATGGAAATTTTGGCTAATTATATGTATTTTCATGGGTCCCAAGCAAGTTGACCTGATCCACTGTTAGCCTGCAATACCATCAACACTTACAGCTGTGCTTCCATATTCATTTGAAAAGTCAGTATGTAATAACTAGTTATGGAAAGAAAGAAAAGAAATATCATGGGCAAACCCTGTCACCTGACCATACTTTCTGTGTGTGTGTGTGTGTGTGTGTGAAGTTCACAGTATCCAAACCAGCTCCTCAATGTAAAGGATAAAATATCAATATGTAGATAGAGAGAATCATCATACCGATTCTTACATTAAGGCTATACAAATTAAAATGCTTCTGTTTGATAAGCAATGTCCTCTATAACCTGCCCTCACCTCATTTCCTCAGTCATTTCTTTCACTTTCTCAGTACTTATTCTAGACAGATCTTTTTCTACTCCTTTTTCCTCTTATTTATGTTTGTTTTCCTTTCTTTGTTCAGGAGATTTACTCTAATGTTAATGATCTTCCTGACCTCTTCTATCTGACTAAATTCTCCGATCCTTCTGTCACAGTTCAAATCTGGATTGTTTTGTTGTTTCTTTGTATGATTGACTCCCAATCAAATTGCCCAGTACACATAATCACGCCCTCTTCACTCTGAGCAGATAATATGTGTAACAATTAATTGGACAGATCTAGAGCATGCAGAACACACAATGTCAAATTCCTTCCTTTCTGTTTCAAAACGTCTCTTTACAATATGATCACTTGTTTCATTCTCTCTTCCAGCTTTTGAATAAAGGGCACCAGTTAAAAGAAACAACTGGGAGGGTTTGGGAAGATAGTGTCTTACCTGTGGCCCACACATTAGTTCCCTCTGCATCTTAGTGCCTGAAAAACTAGGTGCAATGGGATTCTGGCATTCTGAACAGCTCTTTAAGTCAGAGTATGCCAAATTCAGGAGAGCAGGATTACAAAGGAGGGGGAGGCAGTGTAATCACCCAGAAAGAATAAACAGGCAAACCTGCCTTGAGAAGTGCTGACTGGCCCACGAGAAGGCTCCCTGGGGCAGTGGAGAGAATGTGCTGGAGGACTTGCAGCCATTCCAAGGATCTACCTTCAGCACCTGCTTTTATCAGTAAACTTGGGACCACTGGGATGGAGCAGAGACCCCTCTGGCTCCGGATGCCACTGAATTGGGAGCAGAGAGGGGACCACACCGCAAGGGGGTGGGCCCTGGGATAAACTCGTGGCGGGGATCAGGGCAGTTTTCCAGGACAGCTTTTTGGCATGGAGGGGGAGGTTATAGGGTTTTTGCGACTGTCTGAACCTGGCAGAAAGTGG